TACCACCCCCACCCACCCCCATCACAAGACCAAGAAAGTCCACTTTCCCCCCGAAGTTAGCGGATCAGACTTCATCCCGGAGGGATGACATCGGGGATTCTGGAACGTTTGAAAAGTCTTCGCTGAAGGCTACCATAGCCAATATGGGGCAACTGCTTGGAAAAGCAGCCAAAGCTTAGAGGGAGAAAAAAATAAACAGGCGAGGCAGAGAGATGCAAAGGGAAGAGGCCATAAAGCTCCGGAGAACAGGACGATCACACCTGTGGTCCTGGATGCTAACGACATTCTGCTTCCTAGTTCCTGGCTCCTATCTTCTGAGAACCTAGACTACACATCTGAAATTGGGTCCTAAGAGATCCTGATCTTTGCAGCACACTACCCATTTTTTGCTTGAAGTAACTTACAAACCAAGAGCCTGATCCACCAAGACAAGGTCCATTAAGAAAGAAGGAAGGTTCTTGACTCACCGGCCGGAGCAGGGTGAGCCAACACTGTTAGTGCTCACCAGTGGAGGAACCAACCCAGCACGCGCATCTTGCATCACACTTTCTATGCTGCGTAAACCTTTTGCTGCTTCATCACTCCTCTGCATTGCTTCTCGGACTGCTTCTGTTCACACTGCAGGCTTCATAAGAGGGCTGGGCTAAGGCAGGGGGACTCCTGAACCCTGAAAACCTGTTGTGCTTTCACTTCGTGCATTTGAATTGGACATGTAAGAGAGAGACATAAATGTGCATTCTTAGCTATCCATACTGTAACGGCTAAGCACTGGATTGCTAACAAGGTCGGTGGTTTAAAGCCACCAGCCACTCCAAGGAAGCAGATTGAGGCTATCTGCTCCAGTCAAGATTCACAGCCTTGGAATAGTCTGGACAGGGAAATGGCTTGATGGCAGTGGGTTGGCTCGTTGTTTGTTTTGGATAATGTTAGTGATTGAGCGAAAAAGCAGCAGCACTCGCTTTCCCTTGTGCCCTGTCTGCTTGCTACCCACGGATCTTTAGGGTCTTTGCTCTGGACTAGTGACCCTGTTTTGTTGATGCCCAAAGCACACGTTTACTCCGTAGTCTGCCTCACAACCCCCTGGCCTAACAGTACTCAGGACAGAGACTGCAGTCAGAAATAACCAGGCTATAATCTTCATCTCAGCCACCTAACATTGATGAGGGTTCAGAGTTCCACAGACACTATTTAATTAGTGGATGGTGGTGTAGCGGTTACTTGGGCTGCGATCCCCATGTCTGGCAGTTTGAAACCACTGGCAGCTCCTCGGTTCTAAGAAAGACTGGGCTTTCAACTTCCATACGGTTAGTCTCAGAAACCCACAGGGCGTCGCTATGCGTCAGCATTGACTCAATGGCATGGCACTGTGTTTGGTTTGGTTTTATCAATTACGTAATGCCCCCCACCCCCACCAAGAAAAAAGCTTTAGGGTATTATTAATAGCCCTCATTTCAAAATGTAATGAAAGCCAGACAATTTGCCTAAAGTGACAAGGCTAGTAATTCCAGGTCCAACCTCCTAAGCCCCTATGGTCAACTGCTGCTTACTGACGTTGTGACTTTGGGCACATTATTTAATCACGAAACTGCCGAGCGTTCGCAAGAAGACAGTATCTGTGAAGCGAGTAGCAGAGTACCAGAACGCAGAGGAAAGAGGCCAATAAATGGCAGTTCTTGTTATTTGTTTCACATTTGCTCCTGGTGAGGTAGAAAATGTCCACACAAAAAGTCCATGTGGTGAGTCTACAGTGAACTGCTTCAAGCAGAAATACTTTTAGTTCTATAAACTGCACGTTCTCTGGAAAAGAGCCACATTCAAGAACTAGGCGGGCAAAGCAAAAGGAATAAATTATGACCAGTATTTATCTTGGATATAGTCTAAATTCTCCAAGAAAGTCAACTTGCAGATAAGGAGTTTGAGAGCTTCAAGACAATAATCATGCTTGAAGTTAGGGGGCGCCATACTGCTGTTCACGATAAGAAACCACTTCCTCAGAGGGTCTTCACAGCACCGACTCCTCCAGCAACGTGGAGGTAGACAAAATTCTTGACAGTAACAGCGTAGTTGGGGGGCGGGGGAGGGGGGAGGCGAGGGGAGGCATTTCTTTCCACACTCATCCACAATTTTAACTTGAGTTCCAGTACTGTATACTTATTTTATTCTCTGTGCTATCACTTCACTGATAGTAAAACCATTGCTACATTACCCAATAACCTTAAAAAAGTCCATCCAAAAAATTGAAAACAGTTAATTAGGAGAAATAATCACAATAGTGAGTAAGCATAATCCGAAGAAATTAAAGTAACTGGAAAACCATTTGATCTAAAATAAGTATATGTTGGCAAACTGTTGAAACTAGGAAATGGAATCCACCTCACTACCCTTTCTATGTTTATGTATATTTGAAAACTTCCATAATAAAGAATTGTAAATAAACTTAAAACATAAATTTATAAAGTCTGCCTCTTAAAATTCTTCTTTCTTTTTTTTACTGAAGCCTGTTTAAAGGGTGCAGCAGGAAATTGGGCCTATATGACTACTTTGGGAAACAGCCTTGGCTGAGGGAAGAGAAGTGATTAAAGAATAAAAAAGGTTAAGTGAAGGTGGAATTCATATAAGTCACGCAGTGATGGAATGTGTTTCTACAATACTTGAATAATGAGACCCAAGGCCCTAAAACATCACTAAGAAGTCTTCTAATAATAAATAAGCAAACTAGCCTTTCTCTCTTTTTTTAGTGATAATTGTTTGCTCAAGCCATCTCCAACATTTGGTTCCAAATCAGTCACATGGAATATCCAATCTAGGAGCCCTAGTGGTGCAGTGGGTCCCGCTGGGGCAGCAAACAGCAACGTTAGCAGTTTGAAAACAGCAGTTGCACCAAGGGAGAGACGGGACTCCAGTCTCAGAAACTCACAGGGCAGTTGTTTACCCTGTCCCAGAGGGGGTGGCTTTGAGCTGGCATCAATGGGATGGCAACGCGTTTGGTTTTTTTGTACTGAAGTACAGGAGTCAAAACTTCCAAAGGAAGCCTGGGAATCTGAGGATGGGCAGGTAATCCTTCTGTCCATTATCTTTAGTGGACACGATGAAATTTCTGACTTCAACTAGCAATTCATCACCTTCTGAGAGGGTGAACTGCTTACTTTTTTTTTTTACTCAGCAGATAACCCATTAATGAAGAATCATATATCTAGAGCTTTTTTTCCCTTACCCCACTCCCAACAGTGCTTGTCAAGTTTTAGGTCTAGCCTGAAACTCTACCTCTAGTCCACTTTGGGCATTGCCAAATAACAACATGTAACTTCCAAATTTTAGTGACAACTTTCGACTGATTCTGGCTTCTGCTCTGAGAATGCCAGGGAGGGAAATTCTTAACATCTGAGATTAAAGTGCGATTTTCTAAGACTGGTAAGGAGCCCTGTTGCCCTTTCAGGTGAAAGCACCTCAGCAACACTGAAGGTAACCAACCCCGGAGACAGATGTGGTTGCTGAGCACAAACCGTGGTGGTGTTGATCAAGACCATTGACTTGCTAATCCACCACCAAAATAATGGAAAAAGAAATGCAAACACTTAACAACAGTCTTCTACAGAGTTCAGTCAACTCCTTATTTCCCTAAATCCAAGTAAAATGGAGAATGAAGCAATGTCTTCCAAAAAGACCTACTGTATTTGCATCTGATAATTAACAATGTTCTCAGAGTCTAAATCTTCTTGGCTTGGTCTCTCTACTCTGCCATTCACTCACCTTGACCCCTCCTCCCCACTTCTATGCATTTCCATCCTTTACACTTGTCCTTGATTAAGATCATTCCTTAGCACTTATGAGACAAACAAGGCAACAATGGTTTGGTTAATCACAGGATCGATCTTGGATTAAGAAACACTACATGTTTCTAGAAGAGAATGGTGCATGGGTGTATTTTCACTTCCTCCTCATGGCTAGTATGTTTTGCCTCACTGTGTTTCAGTGAATATTCTCAGTACTTCTTCATCCCCTTGAAGAATCCAGAGTTTAAAAAACAAAAACAAACCAACAACACATACACACATTAAATCACTCAGAATTGTCCCCTGAGAAATGGGGTGGGCTATCATTTGAAGAAAGACTGAGTAGCTAGGCTATCCTCCAGGAAATCCTGTTCATGCAACATTGAGGGTACCTGTGAGTTCCAAGATTTCTGTCAATCTATCTGTACATATCTCTAGTATAAATTAGCCTCCAGGGAGTCATTTTCCACCCAAGCTGAACACAAAAATATGAGACATCGTTTTTTTCTTTCCACTCTCTCACAAATTTCACCCCAATTTGGAAGTACGACAGTGAAGACGGTGGTGCCACGCTGAGCACCAGGAGAGGGTTTCCAGAGCTCAGTAAAGGGTCTGAACAGTGTCCTGCATCCAACCAAGAGCTACAGTCAGCGTGGGTCCTGCACTTGGTACCGAGTGCTACTCTTTCCCACGGCAAACTTCCCCCACACCTGCGGGACCCAGTCCACGCGTCAGCTCCCACGTTGCAAGATCTGTCTCCAGAGTTCTTCATAGAGTATTTCTGTGGGAATACCTGCTGAACACTAGGGAGGGGTGTACTAAGTGTCTTTAAAGTAGGCATTTAAGGCGAGCGCACGTGTGCCGCGGAACATACACAATGGCTCTAATTCCCATCCTCTCGCTTAAATCTCTGAGAAACTCCCTCTCTTAAAATGGGACCTAGAGCCACAGCTAGCTAGTAGCACCCAGCAGAGC